TTGTCTGCTTGATATTGTATTGAAATTGTAAGGAGAAATATTGTCTTGTCTCACTCATGGGAGTTAAAAGGGTTAACAAGCCAATCCTCAAATTTCAAATGCCCCAGGGGATTGCAGGAAGAGGAGGGGGGGGGGATGGTGGAGGAAGAAGGAGAGATTTTAAAGCTTCAAATGGATTGATACATTCAATTTGTAAGAGTGGGGAAGGGGGGGGGGGGAAGAGGAGGAGAATTTAAAATTCCTTGGCTCTCAGAAAGGGGCTTACCTATTACAGCTTTTTTGAATGATTGAATTGAGAAAAAGGCAAGACAAATGACAAAATGAAAACTTTTTTCTTTAAAAGGTTCAGTAACTCACCAAACACTTGTTTGGGTTTGAGTCATCTCTTGCTCCAATATATCCCAAAATTCCAGTAATAAACACCTGCAATGCATACATTGACATCAATTAAGCAGAGTGATATTTTGAATAATTAAATTCTTCCTATAATGTTACATCAACAGCATAAATATTCTCCAAGTCCAAGTAACAATAATCCTATTTTACTTGCCAAAAACATTTGATTCATATCAAACTGGAACAAAAAAATATATATACCGTAAACATCCATGTATAAGCCGCACTTTTTTTCACAAAATTGAAGCCAAAAATCAAGGGAGTGGCTTATCCATGGATACACCTGTGTTTGGAGTTCTCAAAAACCTAATTAATATTCATAAAACTTCTTAAGATACCAAGAAATAAACATAAAAGAAACTGAAGCCGTTTGTGTCTTGGAGTGTTTATCGGTGAATCTTGCTCTCCAAGAGTCCTTTCAAGCGATTACTTTTCGCTTACTTGAACAACTAAACACCAACATACAAGGAATCTCTTGTTGTTTTTTACTACCTTCATAGCAATTTGTCAACTGCATTATCAGGCTCCTGCTTTGCATGAAGTTTTTTGCCTATTGCGGGTTTCCAAACATCTTTATACACATGGTATCCCTGAACAGCTGAGCCCAAAGGCCCAGACTCCTTCCAACATTTAAAGCTTGGCTACTAAGCACTTGTTTGATTTTGTTGGGTTTTTTTTTTCAATGCCAAAGGAATTTCAACTTTATGGCGTGTTTCGAAGTGATAATCTTGAAAAATCGGATCGAAAGAGCATTTTAAGTTAAAGATGGTGTAAATTCCAATGAAAAAGAAGGTACGAAAAATGAAATTTTGCTTTCTTTAGACTTGATAAATGTGAAAGATAGCCACAACTTCTGTGTCGGTGTTTCGAAACCTTGATTGTTTGTAGCAATACAACTCTACTAAAACTTCAAACTGTATTGTTTTTATTTTTTCCCAATTCTGCACTTCCAAATCAGGGGTGCGGCTTATCTACGGATGCGGCTTATCTACGGATGCGGCTTATACATGGACATTTACGGTATTTTTTAAAAGCCAAATGAAAAATTGTCTAGTATCTTGCTGGCTATATATATTCAATTTATATTAAACAGTACTCAACCTACTACAGCAGAGATGCATAAAGTTCCCGAAATATGATCTGATTCAAATGAGTTAATTTTCGTTTTTATGCTCAGTGTCTAAACCAATTTGATTTTTATTGCAGAAAAGTTTTAAAGAAAGTGGTAAAAAAAAGCATGAACTATTTCATTAACTCATTTCGTTTCGTTTGGCAAATTGAGGTATTACCACACGGAAGAACCAAATATGTAACTTCAATCGAAAAATAGTACAACAAAATGCCTAATACAGCGAATCTAGGGCAGTTTCCCAAAAGCAATAGCTTCCAAAATTCCTTCGGTAGCTTACCCACTTGTCTCTCGAGATTTTCATCTATATTATATTTGAAGTCTCTCTTACAACGATTCCGAGTGCCAGAAGAAATTGAAAACATCGATTAGGCGAGAATTAGGGGGGGTTGACAAAGCGTATTTACGGGCAAATAAAAAAAGCAATGTAAAAGTCAGAAACTGCGAGCAGGCTTTATTATTACAATCGAAAGGCAGTCCTGCATATACATCATTAATTGTCTACCTACGCACGCACGATCGTAAGATAAAATAAAACTTACCCAAAGGCCAACCCAAACGCCAAAACCAACGTGTGAACTCCAGTGATAAGCGGAGAAAATACATGCTACTCCAAAAACAATCATTAAAGCCCCAAACACCATCTGTGCCATGGCCAACCCTCGCAACGTAGTTGCTCTGTACACCATGATTGCAATCAAAATGGCGACAAATCGAACATCCAATGTAAATAAGAAATGATGACGTCATTTCAAATTCGAGGGTGTTCCTGCCCCCGTCAAAACAATAATAATGTAACATACCCAACGCAAGTAATATTTACGCAGCAACGGAAATGCAAAACTGAATTCATGTAACGTGATTTGGAGATCACACTGCTTGAACTTTCATTAATTTGGTAGCTAGTAAATACTAGCCCATAACACTTCTGGGCCTATTACTTCTGCACATAAATGGTGTTTGGCTCTTTAAGAATCATAGTGGGAGATGCAGTTAGAATTGCTATGAATCATTGATGTCTGAAATACAAAGATGCACACGCTGATTGGTTGAGGAGTGCATCATATCTTGCTATAATCTCCTTGCACAAGATGATTTAAGCAGGAGCACTGAATTTCAAAATGGCTGCCCCACATTTGGCAAAGCTGTACTGAGGAAGTGATAAACCCTTTCAAGGAAAATTCAATTCGAAAAAGCTGTTACCAAGTATGGTGCAGCACCTTTCAAAACTAAAATATAATTTTTTCCCTGTTGACATCTGGAGGAAACTGGCTGCTTATCTTGATGCATGTAGTCAAAAAATTGTAAGAAAAGATATGCAAGTTTTCTTTATATTTAGCGAATGGCTTTAACAACAGAATGATTTTACAATAGAATTAAAAATCACCTGAGCATTGAATTATACTAAAACAATTCCTCACTTCTATTTAGTAATTATGAATAATACACTAATTATAACTTCCTCTAGTAATTATTATTCAACAATATTCACTTTGCCTTTGGCGAATGATTGTTAAATATTCTGAGCTGATGGTCCAATATATTGTGGAAAAGGTTCAAAAACTTGTTTACTCCTTTAACCCTATAACTCCCAAGATCTTGTTTTCAATTCTCCCCTCTTGCTGCTACACCTTTCCTTATACATTGGTTATGAGAAATTGGTGTTAGATAGAGATAACGACTTCTTACTAATAAGGTTGAGCAATCTCATTACCTACTTGCTGGATAATTTATGGATATTTTAAGGAGAAGTTATACATTAATCACTTCTAAAAGTTAAAGGGTAAAAAAAACTTCAAACCATCTACATCAAAAAAGGGCATGTTTGACATCCTTTGATACTTTTAAATATATTAATTTTGCACAAACATGTTATAGTTACAACTTACATTATTTTGAAGCTACAGAGCTTGCCTTTTAAAATTTTTAAAAACTAATAATCATTCCATAAGAA